GGTCCCCGCCCGCCCGCCCCTGCCAGTGCCCCGATCGGGCCACGGGGGTTGCCCACCAGCCCCGATGCCCCGCTCCCACCCAGCGGCCTCCTCCAGGTGAGCAGGGCTCCAGCCCACAGCCCACAGTCGCCCCAGCGCCCAAGGCACCTCTCCTAACTCCTCTGTCTCTCTCACAGCCTGGCAGCACATCCCAGCTCAGCCTCCACGGTACCTTCCTCAGCTCTGAATTCCCCCCGCCTCCCCTGGCCTCTGACTTGCCCAGCGGGGCGCCTGGCAGCCTCAGCCCCGAACTCAAACACAAGCCCTTGCTCCAGTATGCGTTCCCCAGCAAGTGCCTCAGCATGGAGCCGTTCAGCTCCCCCTACTCCACCCCGAGCCCATCCCCTGGCACACCGCTGCTTGGCCAGGATCCTCACTACCCCCCTGCCTCTGTCCCACGCTCCAAGTTCCCCTATCCCAGCTCCCCTGGCTCCTCGCTCATCTCCCATTCAGCCTCGCCGTTCTCCACGCCATGCTTTGCTCAGCATGCCCCAGGCATTGGTTACACCATGGACCTGATGCCTCCAGGATATCCAGCCCTGGCCAGCCCCCAGCACCTGCCCCACATGGTGCTGAGCAGCTCCAGGTTTGCAGTGCCCAAAGGGCTGTCCCAGACTGGGGGCAGCCGGCCAAAGGCGAAGCCCAGCAGTACCAAGGTGAAAAGACCCCAGGGACTCCCCGTGTCACCACGCTTGGCTGTGCCCAACCCCTGCCTGACCCAGCTGCTGACTACAGGTAACCCCACCATGGTGGGAGACAGGGTGTGCAGGTGGTGGGGAGAGGGGGAAAGGCGCAGCACAACACAGCTGGGCTGCGGGAGAAAGGGAGAGGGCCAGACCCCACCCTCCTCCTTGGGAAGAGGACGTGAGGGATGCTGGCCAAGGCACGTGGCTGGTCCTGGGCCTGGCTGTCCCCCAGTGAGGCCAGGAGCGGACAGGCAGTGCCAAACAGCAGCAGGAACCCAGAAACAGCAACACGCCTGGGTAAGGATCTCTGTACCAGCATGGCAACTTCTCTGCTCCAGCTGTCCCCGCAAGGGGAGACAGAGCCCAGCCAGCCCCGGGCCTTGGCCAGATACACTGCTTCCAAGTCCTGTGTGTTACCAGCCCGGTCTCCACAGCCCAGACAGGCTGAGGGACTGGCAATGTCCCTCTTCAACCTGGTGCCAGTATGTGCAATGTGACAGGCTCCACAGAGGCTTGTCATATCCAGCCCCATGCTTGGGCACAGCTTGCTGAGGAGAGACCCAGAGTTCTCACCGGCACCAAGGGTCCCATGTGAGGACGTACTCACTGCAGAGGGCAAAGGCATAACTTCAACCTTCCCTGTGGCTTGGGCATCCACCACAGAGCAGGCAGGGAAGGGGCTGTAACATCACTGGTGCTTGGGGCTGGCTGTCCCTGCGGGACATGGAAAAGTGACCCAAGCACCAGTACCACCGTGCAGCAATCTCCTTCTGTTCCCTGCCCTCTTGCAGCCAAACAGGAGCCAGCCCTGGATGCCATGCACACGCACAGCGCTGCGCATGTGCTCACATCACCTGCCTCCCCGGTAAGCACTCACCTACCCTCCCAGGTTGGGAATTGCCTTCCTGGTTGCTGGGACAGAGGTAGAGTCACCCTTTGGTGGTGGAGGGAATGGAATTCTGTTGAGTCCCCTTTGCAGATTGGTGCTGGACAGGCACGGGACAAAGGTGGGGGCATGTGGCCAGGGTGCCAGGGAAGGCTTGGCAGAGGCTGAGCAGGGCAGGAGGGGAGTCACTTAAGTGTTTTCTGAGGTAAAAGAAGCCGGGTAGAGCTGGGAAACATCCCGCTTGTGGGGATCTTCTTCCTGGACATACCTCCCTAGGGATTATGGGGCCTTGCAGCAGC